AGTCTGATGGGCTGCTTTAGTACACTATCCTTTCATATTGTATGGAGACTTGCTCAGTCTCTACTGGGGAACCAGGACTAATTTTTGAAATATTTTTCTTTGTTGCACTTAGCATAGTCTTGCTCCAGAATCTTAAAATTTTGCATTAAGACTCCCTGGGGAACTTACCAACAATTCTACACAGATCTTCATCAGCTCTTGTATGTATGAGTCCATGTAATCTTCTAGGTTCTGTGGCCCAAGAGGCAGACTGCTTATACCACATCTTTACTTGCTGGAGAGCCATCTTCTATTCCAGGTTCCTCTTAACACTCACAACCTGCACAATCATACAATGAATGGATTAGAGTAGAATCTCCAAGTACTGTACAATATATGCCATTCCCCAAGTCTGAAGAGAGCTACTAAACTTTGAGTGAATGTTTCAACATGTACATACCAGTGCAGTCCTAAAACCCAACTGTGTGATAAGTGGCTGGATCTTTGGCTTTAAAGTTTGCATTAAAAGAATTTATGTCCCTTTATATTTGCTTAAGATTTACTTAAAGTCTAAGTGCTATAATAAGGGAATTGGTTTTATGTAAGTAAGTACATAGCTATTCATTCTTGGAGATTTGAGGAGAAGGTCTTAACTTATATACCAGGAAACCACAAGTTTACCTTGTATGAAAAGCCATACACCACCCAGTGAGTGAGCATTTAAAAGCAAGAATGGCTACTTTATAATAAATGTTCTGAGACCAGAGCTGAGCTGACACAACTGAGATACTGGGGAAAGAGGCCAATCTGCTGAAACTAATGAATTTGACCCATGGACCCAGTGAGGACCCAAAGAAACCATATCACTGCTGCAATATATTCATATATTCATCCATTCATTCATTCATTCAACAAATACCAGGGGCTGGGGATTTAGCTCAGCAGCACAGTGCCTGCCTGGCAAGCGCAAGGTCATGAGTTCAATTCCTTGTACCAGAAGAAAAACAAAAAACCAAATACCAATTAGCAGTAAGGACATCCTGCAAGAAGTGTAAGTCCAACATGGCCCCTAAGAGTTAGGGAGATAAATGTTACACTGTGTCACATGGAGGAGAATAAATCCAAAAGCTTTGTGGGGGTTACAAAGGACCCCTTCATGTGCTGAAAACAAAGATGAACCTAGGAGAAGAGGCTAGAGATGAAAAGCAGCCAGAGCAGAGCTTTGCAAGCAGGGAATGGGGTGTGTCCCAAGAGTTCAGGGAAGAAACCCACAGGATAGAAGGATAAAATCACCCTTCAGCAGTCACAAAGTAACTTGAAAAACCCTTTTACATCTGACTCTTAATTTATTTGGTCATCTCACAACAAACCTGTGACTATCCATTCATTATCTAGAGAATCTCAATGAATAAACAGTTACTGAACATCTAGGTGCATATGCTATGATTTGACTCCAGCTAACAAAAACCTCCGTTGCTAGTTTAAAAGAAGAGATTTAATATAACAAATTCTGTGTTCATGAAACCATCAGGAGGTTTTGAGATGCAGGTGCTGAATTTCCAATTGTGACTCCTGGCCCAGCCCAGCTCTAGCTCAGACAAAGGAGATGCTATTTCACCTCTGTACTTGCAGGAACTGCTTACTGGAGCTGGCTGCCTTGTAAGGTCTCACTGCTGGGACTGAGCTCACCAAGAGGAAGACCAAACAGAAACCTCTATGTTTCCATCTCTGGCACTGAAGACCCTCCTGCCTATGGCACCTCCATTCCTCATGAGAAGCATCAGCACTAGGACCAATAATAGGCCCAAACTAGCCAACAAAGTTGCTGTGATCACAGGATCCACATCGGGGTGAGAGCAACTCTTTGGGAATTATGGAACTGTGACAGTCTTTTTATTTTGTTGACCTCATTGTCTTAGCCTGATTCCAATAAAGCAAGCGTCCAAAGCTAAAGTACCAGTAGTTTTAGGAGAATGAGATCCTAAGGGGATAAAGGGACAGGAGAAAAAAAAATAGATATAGCCAGGACAGGATATGTTACCAAGATGGCCCCCACTGTATGCCCTGGGTGATGGGTCCACAGTTCCAGTAAGAATCATGAACTGCATTTTAGAGGCACCTTCCAGGAGAAGGGAGAAGGAATTCAGCCATTACTCCATCCCTCCATTAGTCAATAATTACACTACATAGGTTATGTTACATTGTAGTATAAGGCAGGGGTCCAGGAAGCTAGGGGTCTCCCATGAAAAGACCCTTCTTTTTCAGGTTCATGCTCTCATTCCAACAAAGAACGAAGGGGCGGTGGGGGCAGGGGTGGGTAAGGCTGGCTCAAAGCCAAAAATCTCTGGCTGAAAATAGGGAAATCAGGTCCATGAAGATTGAAGAAGTCAAAAATGAAAGTAGTGCAAAGCAGAGATTTATTTATAATATTGCAAAGGTGAGGACAAAGCTGCAGGACAGCAAGCTGCACAGCAGGGAGAGCTTGAAATGAGTTTCTCAAAGGTCAAGGGACCACTGTACTCATAAGGGTAAACTGATCCCTGAAAACTAACTGTTTCACTGATTGGTTATTGGGGTGAGTTAAAGGTTATGGAGTCTCCACTGACTGGTGTACTCTAGGCCAATCAGGCTGTTAGCCTTGGTTACTGTGGTAAGCTGTTGCTGGGGTGAGCTAACTGTCATGGGGGATCTAGGAGCATACAATAAAAGCATGCAAGCTGACCCCTAAAAATAACTGTTCCACTCCTGCAAAGCTTTCACAAAGGACAATTTCCAGTAAGCAAGTGGTCATTTCTATGACCATCTGCTCCATCAACCATGCCATGCCAGCCACTTTATGCTCTATGTCTCTGCCTAACTCCCTCTCAAACTGTTGCTACATAATAACCCTATCCTTCTTTTTTTCTTAAGTTTGCAAAAGTGTTAGTTTATTTTATTTTTTATTTTAAAGAGAATAAAAAATAATTTTAAAAAACATTAGAAACTATTCAGAATAAAAAAAAATAAGATGATAGAAATTCAACAATGGTTATTATATTGCATATTGTTATCTTCAAAGTAGTTGTTCAGACTACCAGATATAAGCATGTAAAATTGGTCAAAAAAAATTAAGCATTAACTGTTCCTTCAATAAACCAAGGTGGGGCTGGGTATTTAGCTCAGCGGCACAGTTCCTGCATGGCAAGCGCGAGGTCGTGAGTTTGATTCCCGGTACCAGAAAACAACAACCACAACAACAAAAACAATAAACCAAATTGCACGCCTGAGTGCACTCAGTGGATTCACAGCCCTGAGACAAGCAGCTCTGGGATTGCAGCTGCCAAAGTTTTGAGGAGCTGGGAACGAGTTGTCACCATAGTGGTTCCAGTAGGAGGTGAGGCCAAGCTCTGATGTAGTACACAGAGGGTCCAACAGACCCAGGACTGATGTATGCCCTTTTTACATCTTCTGGTCATCTTACCACTCATGACCAGGGTGTTAGCTCCTCTGGGTGAGTGGAGAAAATTCATTTGGAACTTTACAGTGAAAAATATAGCAAGCAAGAAAGAACTCATCTGCTGGTGGAAATGTAAATTAGTACAAGCGCCATGGAAATCACTGTGGAGATTCCTCAAAAAACTAAAAATAGGGCCGTTGATATGGCACAGCAGCACAGCACCTGCCTGGGCAAACACAAGGTCCTGAGTTCGATTTCTGATACCAAAAAAAAAAACCAAACTGAAAATAGAAATTCCATTTGACACAGCTACTCCCCTTGTATCTGACCAAAAGAGTTAAAGACATCATATTATAGAGATACATGCATACTCATGTTTACAGCAGTGCAGCTTGTAACAGCTAAATTTTGGAAACAGCCTACATGCCTATTGACAGGTGAATGGATAAAGAAAATGTAGTACATAAACATAAATGAGCACTACTATGCCATAAAGAAAGGTAAACTTGAGGCATCAGAAGGTAAATGGATGCAATTTGAGATCATAATGTTAAGTGAAATAAGACACACAAGCTTAAATATCACATGGTTTTTCTTATATGAGAAACTCAAAAATATATACATTTAAATAAACAGCAAAACAGAAGATAGATAAATAGAACTAGGGAGATCTTCAAATGGTTGAGGGAACAAGAGATGAAGACAGAAGACAGGGAGGGGAAGGAAAGGTACTGAAAAAAAAGATCGAGGGGGAAATGATAAAAACGGGGCTTTTGCAAAAAGAAAGTGGACAGAGTTCAAAGGGGGGGATTTTGAAAAGATGTATATACATATGCCAGTTCCCTCACAATAAATGTAATCATTGTGTACTGCAAACATATACTAAAAAAAAAAAAAAAAACAAAACAGACTCATCCCACTGCTGTAGTGTCACATCCTCTCCATTTCTCTGTACACAGGATCGGCTTAGCCATTTCCCAGCGTCTGGCCCAGGACGGGGCCCATGTGGTCATCAGCAGCCGGAAGCAGCAGAACGTGGACCGCGCCGTGGCCATGCTGAAGAGAGAGGGGCTGAGCGTGACGGGCACGGTGTGCCATGTAGGGAAGGCCGAGGACCGGGAGCAGCTGGTGAACACGGTGAGGGACATAAAGGAGTTCTAGCCAGGGGCTTGGGGATTCTGCTTCTATGACCCACACTAGGAGAACAGGCTAAAGCCTCCATCACATGAATCAAATCAACTGGCTGTCCTTCAGTTTCTGATTAGTGCACAGACTCCTCTAAACAGACCTAGACAAGCCGGGCATGGTGACGCATGCCTGTAATCCCAGCACTTGGGAGGCTGAGGCAGGAGGATCACCATGAGTTCGAGACCAGCCTGGGCTACAAAGTGAGCTCAAGCCCAGCCTGAACTGCATAGTGAGACCCTGTCTCCAAAAGACAGAAAAAATAAAATAAAATAAACAGACCTAGACAGAGAAAAACCATGGAGGGAGAAAGATGTTGGGGTAGAGAGGGCGCTCCTTTCCTGCTATGAGCGAGGCAGGCCCTCCTGGAAGATCCCTGAGGAAAACTGAGGAGGATAGCGATACTGTCACAAGGAACTCTGGTGTTCAGTCAGAGCTAGGGTGTTCAGGAAAATGGAGATTTGATGTGCCATTCCAAGAAACAGAGCAGAGGAGAGATGTGTTAAAAAACTGGTAACCAAGAGGGCCTAGGATTGAAAGGACATACAGTAAAAGAAACATGGGTGAAGCCTCACCCTTCATTGTTCACAAGCTCAGGACCCAGTTCTTAGAAAGAAGAAATGGTTCTCCAGCCTCACTTGGAGTTGTTCCTCCCTCAGATCTGACCCAGGCATAACCTACAGATATCAAATGGGAATTACCTCCCACTGTTACACAAACCTTTCTCTCTCTCCTTGACTCTGGTCCTCAATGTCCTCTTCTCACCTACAGGCTCTGAAACACTCTGGGGGTGTGGACTTCCTGGTGTGCACAGCAGGGGTCAACCCCTTAGTGGGGAGTACCCTAGGGAGCAGCGAGCAGATCTGGGACAAGGTAAGAACTGGGGATGATGACGGGAAGGTGGTGAGACTTCATCCTCCCCTTCTGAGTAACTCTCCAGCTCTGCTGACACCCAGAGCTGATTCAGCTCCCACATACTCACCCCAACACACCCCATCATCATAGGCTCATTAGCACAGAGCAAGGTCAGGTGCCTAGACTCTATGAACCTCAATTCCCTACCTGTGCAGTGGAGGGGAGGGTGCTTAAATTGCAGTTCTTGTCTGTCCTGTTCAGGAGCTCCTACTCTGCAGGTCATGTCCAATACAGGGAAAACCAGACAGACATGAAACATGTGGAGCTCAGAAAAGGAGATGATTCTCCTCCTTGTCTGCTTCCCTTGGCAGAGTCATCCTGCCTACATTCTCACCTGCTGTATTTCCTGATCCAGTGAGGACACTGGACTATCTTCTATCCCTCACCCCTCTTTTGCTCTGATTTCAGATCATGAACATCAATGTGAAGGCCCCTGCCCTCCTCCTGAGCCAGCTGCTGCCCCACATGGAGAAGAGAGGGTGAGGGTGAGGGTGAGGGTGAGGGTGGGAAGGGGAATAGAGAGGGAGGTGCTTCCTATCAAACAGGAAGTTGGGAAGCTAGAGTAAGAGAGTCCAGTTTTAAATCAGACATTCCTAGATGGAAACAGGCTTAGTTGGACCAGTGATACAAGAATGGTGACAGTTTGACTTTCAGATTCTGAGTCACCTAAAAAACCAAAGAATTCCATATATTAGTGTACCTGGGAAATAGATCTAGCATGCAGAGAGACTGGGAAGTCCCTGCAAGACCTCAGCAGGAAAGAGGATGAGGGATCCACTGACAGAAGCTGGAGTTGCTACAACTGTCCTAGAATCAGAAAAATAGAAGTGGCCTCCCTTGGGCTGTAGAAGCACCAGCCTGATAACCCTAAGGTACCTGCGGCCTGTGTACCTATGGTAGAGCTAGATTCCCAGCCTGAAATGTGGACTGGGCCCCTGGTGCTCGGCCATGTTTTCTCCATCTAATCCCCTGTTCTGATCCAGGGCACCTCTGCAGGGTCTGGCTTCTCTTAATAACTGACATATTTTATTGTGTCAGTTAACGTTCACAACAGGTCTGCTAAGCAGAAGACATTTGATAAAGGACATTCTAAGTGATGTACTTTAGACAGAAGTATATCGAAAGGTCTCAGGTGGAAAATCTGAGATAGAAGTAAAATGAAATGCATCACAATCAAAAGATCGAAAATAAAAAGATCCCACATGGACAAAGGATCCTATGTGGAAAATCTGAAAAAGAAGTAAGATGAAACACACAGAAAATACTAACATGTGAGCCGCTTTAATTGCATAGTGTAAAAAAGCAATAATGATGTTTGTAGGGTTAAAAATTTTAAGTGCACAAAGAATAATATTCAAATCAGGAAGACAAAAATGGAGCTGTTATTAGATTTTCATGTTGTTGAGATATGGTTTGAAAATTAATTATAGTTGGTCATGGGGGCGGATGTGAGAAATCCCAGCAGTCAGGAGGTTCAGGCAGGAGGACTGCTATGAGTTTGTGAGGATTTCCTGGGCTACATAGTGAGTTCGAGGCCAGCCAGAACGACAGAGTGAGAAACTATCTCAAAAAAAGAAAAGAAAAACTTTGATTAGCTAAACAAGCCTGTTTTGTTTTCTGGAATAGCAACTATAAGCATGGCAACAGAATATGGAGTGTATATTCAAAGTAATAGAGGAAGAAGTTGAAATAGAAAAAATAATCTAGAAAAAACAAAAACTCATAAGGAAAAAAAAACAACTGGTACAATTTTAAAAAGTCACAAAATTGAATATTAAATGTTAATCCCAGTATATCAGTTAAAATATAAAGATAGTCAAGATAGAATGTTCAATCAAATTAAAATTCTTTAGCTGGGCATGGCAGCACATGTCTATAATCCTAGCACTCAAGAAGCTGGAGCAGGAGGATTTCAAGTTCAAGGCTCACCTGGGCAAATTAGCAAGCTCTTACCTCAACCCTCCCCTCCCCACCACACACACAAAAAGATTTTTTAATCTGATTAGACAACAATGACATGTTTCACCAAATTTTTCAGTTTTGTTGACTGAGTTTATAGTGTTAGGAAAAATATTAACATGATGGTTATAGTTCTGGCAAAAGCTAGGAATGAAGATATTGTTTGAAGTAGATCAGATAAGCCATAGCACACTGCACACAGGTACTCTGCTCAGCTGTTCAATTTGGGAGACTCATCTTAAATCCCTCTTAAAGACAATGAAGTAAAACTATATCTTTCAGGGTTGTAAACAATAGTGGTTAGCAGAAGACAATATTGTCTATATTGAATAATGTGCTGGGGAAAAATTAAATGCCCAGAAGTAAAAGAAAGGAAATAATACAGAGCAGAAACCAATAGAAAATGAAACAAAGTACCATATAAGGATGAAAAGAACCAAAAATTTACTTAAACAAAAACTAATACCATTATAAGGAATAAAGACAAAAGCACCACTAGAGATCCCAAAGGCAATAAAAAGAAAGTGATAAACAGAAACTTTGATAACCTGAAATCATTGTAAAATAAACAATTTTTTTAAAAAAAGACACCTTACCAAAACTAACTCAAGAAGAGAGAGGAAATGTGGCCAGTGCTATTACCATTCAATAAGACTAATCCACAGTACATTTTTCCTAAAAAAAAATGTCCAACTACAACTTCTCTGGCAATACAATTTGAGAGATAAAGGAAAATGGAGATTAAATCCCCTTACCAGGCCCCAGCTGCTCTCACTCTTAATCACACGAGGTAACCTTTGGCTCCCATCCAACCCCCTCTTTATTTTCCCAGAGAAGGCTCAGTGGTCCTGGTCTCCTCGGTGGCAGCCTATCTCCCAGTTCCTGTAAGTAGAACTATCTGTGGCTCCCTATTTGGGTAAGAAAAACTCCCCCCACTTTCACCTGGAAAAGCAGTTTCACAACTGCTCCTTCAGGATATTCATGTGCAAAGGTGATCACTGTGTGTCACAGGCTTTGTCTTTTACATAAATTCACTTAGTAGGAGCATCTTGCCCTCTCTATGGGGCATTATCTCTCGGACTTAATGAACAAAAATCAGGAAGTATTACTAGGATGATTTCCTGGGTAGAACTTGGGAAATTAAACTGACTTTTCTTTGTCCTCGTTCCAGCCTAGTAATCTGTTTCCCTTTCTGTCCACAGAAGCTGGGAGTCTACAATGTCAGTAAAACAGCCCTAGCGGCCCTCACCAAGACTCTGGCAGTGGAACTGGCACCAAAGAACATCCGAGTGAATGGTCTCTTACCAGGAATCATAGAAACAGAGTTCAGCAAAGTGGTGAGGTCCAAGGACAGCAACTCCTCCTACCCTACTGAGCAGCAGTATAACTACTGCTTCAAGGCCTCGTCCCACAGACCCAGACTCCCAGACTCAGACCTCTTGACTCTTGTTCTGATGCTCTGATCCAAGTCTTTGAGATCCACTGCAGATGAAGCATCAGTCCTCTGTCAAGGGCCATCTCCTGGTGTCTCCCAGCAGCCTTTTAGACACACAGCCTGTGTGATGTACAGCCCATGTGGTCCATCTGCAAAAGCAGCACTAACCTTTTGACCTTCCTTTTAGATCAGAGAAGACAGAGACTTTTTAGAAAATGTGAACAGCCTCTACAGAGTACAGAGGTAGGTTATGGCTAGGCAAGGTCCCTTGTGGATCTGAATTAACACAACCTCAGAACTTTCTTGAAGGGTGAAAAGTCACAAAGCATCCCTCTGCAGACTTCTACCCCCAGACCTGACAATTCCCCTAGGCCTGGGATGATCTCTGCAGTTCCCTGTAGACCATGCATAACTTCAGTTTGTACTTCTTTGCTTATCTTCATAGGGCCTTGACTTCAGTGTCACATAGGAACCTAGGGACTATGGGGGAGGTGTCACTAGACTCCTTCTCATCTTCTCTCTCCATACAGATTGGGACAGCCCGAGGACTGTGCTGGACTTGTGTCCTTCCTGTGCTCCCCAGATGCCAGCTTCATAACCGGCGAGAACATCGTGGTGGCCGGCTTCTCTCCCCATATCTGAGGGGGCTCTCCATGCAGGAGCCCCATGTGCCTGTGCTCTAAGTGTGTGCACTTTCATTGAAACCCTTCACTGACAGAAATAATAAAGAACGTCAGAAAAGAGGCCTGGTAGTATGAAACTATCTTAAAACCAGCTAACACAGTGTCAGCTTTGCTAGAAAACAAAATGTGTACCTGAGTCTCAGGTAAAAGCAAAGAGCTAAAATTAGGCTGGAAGACAACATGCATCATCTCCTAAACATTCCTATGAGCCTGATGTTTTGATCTCTAATTCTGCAGCTGAGAAAACCAAGACAGTGATCTAAGGACAATGTTCTGAGAACACACACAAGGGGTCAGAGCAAGTTGATCCTCCATTTGCTTGTAAAAGGGAGAAGGATTAGCATGGAATCATATCTGAGGGGAAAGACCAGCCACCAGAGTCTTCATTTTCCCTTTGGACCCCTATCCTATAAGACTAAACCTGGTCTCTACTTGCACTCACACAGTTCGACCTTCCACAGACATATGCTCAAGCAGTAACCAGTGTCTCTCATACAGTGTATGCTGACCACTGGAGCCTGAAATGCAGGGACAGTGGCAACCCTGGGAGGGTCCTTCCTGTATCTCCTTGGTCTACGCTGGCTTCACAAACATTTCTGGTGGGCAATTCCTATGTATACTATAGGCTTCCTACAGCAGCATGCCCTGTGCACAGAAGGAGTTAGTTTCTCTCTCTCTCTCTCTCTCTCTCTCTCTCTCTCTCTCTCTCTCTCTCTCTCTTTTGCTCTCTCTCTCTACTCCCTCTCTCTCTCTCCCCCTCTCCCTCTCTCCCCCCCCAACCCCCTCTATCTCTCATCTCCTTCGTTTCATCTCCACAGGAAGTCATTTTCGGTCTCAGGATCTGCTTCGGTGGTAATCCAAACTCAGACAAAAACAAAACTTCACTACACGCTTACAAGTAAATGACTAAAAAATACAAAGTTCTCAATGAGTCAACACACTGGTGGAAACATATTCACCCTAGAAAATAGTAACTCAGTTATCTACAATAAGTGCATATTACTAGAAACAGTCTAAGGAAATAAAAATCAGAATTGGTGTTTCCTAAAGTGAGTGTCGTGCTTAAAAAGAAGTGAAGAAAAATTAAAACCTAGATAAGTAGCTCAAATCATACTACCCAAAATTATTAGACAGGAAGATAGACAGTAACAACTTCACACTGAATTAATTAAAAGCCAGAAAAGAAGTAACCTTACAGAGGGGGCACAGGCCAGGAGCCCTTGGACTTGCACCATGGTGTACCACTGAGCAGGTCAGTTCTCTCTTCCCCGTGATGTTCCTTCAAACATAAAACACATCATGCTCTCCCTGCCCGTGTCCTGTGTTGCTGAACTTCCCTGACTAAATATTCTCAGTTCCTCCTCAATCATTGTTAGTCATCAGGCAAATAACACCTCCCAGATTCAATTTTCTAGATTTTACTTAAAGAGCTTTCCAGTGTAGTTGCAGGCCTCTCCACCATCACGCACACACACCAAAAGCACTGTGCATCTTCCAACTTATTCCTGATTCAAATGGTGGAGCCACAACTAAGGACAGATCATCAAGAGCTTCCCTAGGTGTTTCATATAATTATTATGAATAAAAGTTAACTTATTGAGTGCTTAATATGTCCCAGATATCATATAGTATTTAAACTTTACTTTTACAGAAAAGGAAAAGGTTAAAACTTTAACCTTCCAGAGTCACTCAACAGGAAGATTTGAACTCATTCCACTGAGCCCAAAGTCTATATTCTTAATTATTAAACTGTACTTCAAATTGATAAATGGCTCCTGTAATTTTTTTCCTGTTTCTCATCTAAATGTGTGAGCTTCCAGCATTCAGAAGGCCATAGTTTAGATATGAAATGTCCCCCAAATGTCCTTGTACAAAGTGTGGTCCCTGGTAAGGGACCAAGAGGTGGCAGAAACATTTTTTTTTTAACCTAACCTAAATTTTTTTCTTTTTTTCTTATGATAATTTTTTATAATTTTTTATTTTATTGTACATGTTTGCAATTTATGCGGTTTTCAGTCACCTTGGGGTGCAGTCACATGTACATATTACAGCTTGTTTCTTTTTTCTTTAGTCCCCTTCCCCTTCTCTCCTCCCATCTTTCTCCCCCAGGTCCCCGATCACCTTTTTCATTCTCTTTCATATTATTTGTCTTAGCTCATTTTATGGCACATAGTCTACAATAACTGAGGTTGTTAGATTCCTGTAGATGGCACATCTTTATTCTACATATTTCCCCTTTTCCTCCTCCTTGCCCTCTGCCCTTGTTCCCTTGGACCACTGCCTTATTACAAGAGATCCATCCCCTCATCCCTTTCTACCCATCCTTAATCATTTTCTTTTGTTTGTACTTTGCCTCACTCAAATGAGAGATACCATATGGTACTGAAGCTTGTATGTCTGGTTTATTTCACTCAACATTATATTTTCCCTGTGTGTCCTTCTTCCCACAAATGTCTCATTCTTCATAGCCAAGTAGTATTCCACTATATATAGATACCTCATTTTCTTTATCCAATAGTCAGTTGATGGGTATACAGGCTGCTTTCAGGATAGAGCTATGTACTGCTATAAACACTGGTATGCATGTATCACTATAGTATGATTATTTAACCTTTTGGGGGAAGATACCTAGCAAGGGAACAGCTGGGTCATATGGAATTTCTTTTTTTTATTTTAAAGAGAAGAAATAAAAATAACAATAAAATAGTAGCTAGTTTGTCTTAGTTCATTGGAAAGAAAGGTCATATGGAATTTCTAACTTCAATTGTTTGAGAAACCCCCATACTGATTTCCATAATGGTTGTGCTAGTTTATATTCCCACCAACAATGCAGGAGGATTCCTTTTTCACCAAGGCCATGCCAACATTTGCTATTGTTTGATTTCTTACTCCATTCTTGCTAAGATGGAATCTTAGCGTTGTTTTAGTCTGCATTTCTCTAATGGTCAAAGATGTTGAACATTTTTTCATATATTTGTTGACCATTTGTATTTCTTCCTCTGTGAAGTGTCTATTTATCTCTTTTGCCCATTTCTTGAGTGCATCTTTAATTTTCTTGAGTTCTTTGTATATTTCAGATATTAGACCTCTGTCTGAGGAGTAGTTAGCAAAATTTTTCCCATTCTGTAGGTTCTCTATTGACTGATTCTTTTGCCGTACAGAAGCTTTTTTATCTGATATAATTCCATTTGTTGATTCTTCCAGCTATTTTTTTGTACAATGAGATTCTATTTTTGATTTTGGTTTTGGTTTTGGTTTTGATTTGGGGTTTGTTTGTTGTTTTTTGAGACAGGGTCTCGATATGTAGTTCAGGCTAGTTTTGACCTCACTATGTAGCCCAAACTGGCCTTGAACTCTGGTGATTCCCCTGATTCAGCCTCTTGAGCACTGGGATTACAGGCATATGCCACCACACTCGACAGGTTTTGTTTAGAAAATCCTTTCCTACACCTGTATCTTCAAGTGTCTTATCTACTTGATCTTCCAGAAAGTTTACTGTTTCTGTTTTAATGTTTAGATCTTTGATCCACTTAGATTTTAATTTAGTATATGGTGAGAGATAAGGGTCCAGGTTCAATCTTCTTCAAATAGATGTTTTCCCACCATGACTTGTTGAATAGGCTATCTTTCCTTCAACATATGTTTTTTGGCTCCTTTGTCAAAGATCAAATAGTTGAATGTGTCTGGGGAGGTTTCTGTATCCTCACTTCTGTTCCATTGATCCATGTGTCTGTTTTTGTTCCAGTAGCATGCTTTTTTTTATCACTATTGCTTTGTAGTATAGCTTGAAGTCAGGTATTGCTATGCCTCCTGATTTGTTCTTATTGCCCCAGATTACTCTTGCTATTCTGGGTCTCTTCTGGCTCCATATGAATTTTACAATTGTTTCCTCTAGGTGTGTGTTGGTGGAAACTTTAAGATCTGGGGTCAAGGAGGAGGTCTGTGGATCACTGGGGGGTACAATTCTAAAGGAGAATCCAGGACTTCAGGCCCATTTTCTTCCTCATTTTGCTTACCAGTCATGAGGTAAGCAGTTTTTCCTCCAACCACACGCTCACACCATGATGTGTTGCATCACCATATACCATGGACTAGAATCTCTAAAACATGATCCAAATAAATATCTTATCTTTATAAGTTTATTATCTCAAGTATTTGCTATAGTGGTGGAAAGAGAAAGAGAATGTGTAAGTTGATGATAATTTGTGGGAGGGTTCATGAAAAAGAAGAAATCCACTAGTAAAAGGAGACTGACATTGTTGCGAAGCTCAAAGGATTTTGTAAACAAACAATGATGATTAAGGAGGCATCTATAGATGCAGTATCCCTATGATCTATACAATAATAATCTAAAATAATAAAGAGTGGGCAGTAGTAATTACTCTACTACACTGGTGGCAAGGAAATTCTGAGCCATAGAGATCTGCTGCAAGGACTAAGACAGTGGGGTTAGAAGCAACTGAACGGAAAAGTGATATCAGCCATAACAGTGAAATCCTTAGATTGAGAGTAACTTGCTCTGCAAATATTCCATAAGACAAGCAAATGTTACTAATAAATTTTAACTTGATAAATGAGTGATGTCTTGCAATATGAGTAGTAGTGACACCAAATGTCACATGATCACAACTGAGCCAATGGTTCTCCCCTCCTCTTCCCTTCCCCCTTCTCTCTCTGCAGGATTGCGTGTCATCATCTTTCAGCAGCAAAAGGTAATGGAGAAGATCTCATCTGCAGAGGAGGAGGAAAAAAGGCCAAGGAATCCCTCACTTCAGATGAGATTAGGGAGATGTATAAAATGTGAGAAACAGTGCAAAATTGTGTAGAAAAGCATCACCCAAACAAGGCTGTAGCAGTGCAAGTGATGAATCTGCTTAACAAAATGCAATGTCACATTTCTGTAAAACCCTCAAAAGGGGAAAAAATCAAGTATTATTGGATAAGTTCCTTGTTAAATTTGCATGAAAAAGATTCCACTGAGCCAATAGACAGCAACGATCCAACAGTGAAAGTCATCCTACACAATAACACTCTTCTCTCTTGTCTCCCTCACACCAGCCA